ACTCATTGCAAAGTTTAATTGCCATTCCAAGCAAAAACAATTAACAAATTCAGTAATTGCATCTTTAAGGCCAAGGTCATTTAAAAGTCAAGGTCTAAGATAATTTGATCTTAATGAATGTCTTGTCCTAAAGGTATTTCAGTCTAATTATGAGACAATTCATTAATACAAAATTTGTAGTCAGTTACAGAAAAAAAGAGAGCAAAATTTCAGTTATTTGACCTTAAAGCTTTGTGACTCAAGGTCAGGGTTAGTCTGGTCATCTTAAAAGAACAATCCAGAGAATGTTATTCCATGTATGAAATTCATTCATTAACACTAAAGCAGTAGCCACTTTGGTCGTTTTTTTATGTGGAATATTTCCTAAGCTAATAACAAGGGCCATCAGTGATTACATGTGTCGCCTCATGATTGCCAGTCACATGTTGCAGCTACTGTGTAGCAGGAGACCCAAAAATCATTAACTGGGCAAAACACTTTTTTTTATTCAAGGGCAATAACTCAGCTGAAAATCATTCAAGTGAAAAGTTTGTGTATTATCAATTTATGCACAAGTACTTGACCTACCAATCAATCCTGTAAAGTTTCATTGAAATTGCAGTAATTGTATAAGAGGAGTAGTCCTGACAAACTTTATTAACATCCTTTTCATTCAAGGGCCATAACATGCGGAAAACCCGGAGTATTTTGTGCAAGTACTTGACCTACCAATCAATCCTGAAAGTTTCTTGGAAATTGCATTAGTGGTATAATAGGAGTAGTCAGGACAAACTTTAAAAAAATATATAGTTTAAGGGCCATAAATCCAACAAAATTTATTGAACCATAAAATGCGATGATATGCACACTAGACTTGGTACTGATCATTCCTGTAAATTTAGAAAGAAATTGCACCAGTAGTTTTTGAGAAGTAGTCCGGCATGGGTAGAATGAACAAAAATTCAAGTCTGCTATGCAAGAAATTCCAGTCAGTATACTATAGGTATCCGGTGTAAGATCCTTATAAGAGTCTATGTACTTGGCTTACTTGCATACTTAATTTACTACTTTTTGTCAATTTGTTCTCAGTGAAAGGAATCTGGCATACTTGAATGACAGCAATTAAAAAATTATTAAAGATATATTGTGTGAACACAGCTGAAGTCATTACTTTGACATAAATTAAACATAAGGATTGCTTAAATACAATGATTTTTCACCCTACATTTTACAGCCGAATAAAGGCTGTTTCCCCCTAGCCCAAAATAAGTATATTTGCCCCTAAAAGTGTTAATGATATTTTCCCCTTAAATGCCAAGTTCACTTTTTTACCAGAACCATGACTTAACAGCATCTTACTTATATCTGACAGCAGCTGTCCCTATATATAGCCTGGCTGACTTATATCAATAACCTCTCCCTATAAATAGCCTCTGCTACATGTATGTACTATGCATGTTAAATTGAATTGAAATTGAAAATTTGATCAAATGTGAATTTGATGTGACTAGATTACCCTGTTTTCTGGTTAATCACACTATATTTTCCCCTTCAGAAAGCCACAGGTTGTTTTTAAAATTGGAAAAAAATCACTGTAATACATTGACAGATTTGTTTACATGGCTTCAAAGATATTTGTTATTGAATCAAATAAGAAAGTTATAGCACAGGAATCTGATTATAAAAACCATATGCAAGCCACAATTATTCTTTTAATCATTTTACTATGGTGGTTATTTTTGCTCACTTCCCTTACTGACTACTAAAATGACAGGTTTAGACAGTATCATGTGTAAAGGCTGGTATGCACAGTGATTCAGATGCTCTCAATATAAAATGAAAGCTAAATAAATTATAGATAATTTACTGTAAAGTAGTATCTACTTTAGCCCAAAACTACAAATGAAGCTTTGGGAAAAATCTACAATGTAATATTCAGTTCAATTTACACATGAAAACTACAAATTTTATGTGTCAATAAGCCATGTGCCATATAATTCATAAACATTTGGCTGTCATAGTGCCAGTGGCATATTTATATACTTAAATACATATTTCATAAAGATTGTGTTCTATCAATGAGACAAAACTGTTTGTTGTAATTATACTGTTTAATTTATCATAGTACATTAGTGATTACTACTGTTATGTTGCTTGCAAACAAATATATTGACATGATTAACAATAACTAACTTTAGTGTTGTAAAATTGTTTTGATCCTTCAGATTCATGCTGGTTAATAATGTATGTAATGTAAGGATACACCACATTGTAATAATGATTTGCCATAGATGAATAAAACTATTTGACAAGAATTTTTTTTTCACAATCATTTACAAACTGTTTTCCTTTATTTTTTTCCAAATTGTAAATTTCACTGATTAGTTGATTATGTAGAGGAAAATTATAATTGAAAAGCCTTTCTTGAATAAAAACACATGAAAACAACCGATTTTTTACCAAAATTACATAACACATAGTGAATAAGTTAACATGTCAAAACAAACTTTAATGAACCTTAATTTTTAATATATATTATTTTCTTGTAAATATACTCTTACAATGAAAGTTACTCTTTGATAAATTCAAAATAATTAAAGGCCTTATATTATGAGTTCAAACATTGTCATTGTTCTTGTCAATTATTTTTTAAAATGTTCATGTCTCTTTTCCTTCAGTTAATTTAACTAAGACCAGTCATACTGAAACAATTGTTCTTTATCATTTATTTTTATTCCCTTGTGTCAAATGATCTTCATTTAATCAAATACCAAATGAAAGAACATCAATTACTTAAATTTGCAATAGAGAATAACATACTATTGTATTTTTGATATCAATTTTATCAGACAAAGCTGATATGAGCTTGTTTATGTCATATATAATAAATTAAAAGCAGACACAACAGCAACAAAATAGAGAAAATAAGAATCCCTAAAGAAAGCCCAATACGGCACAATTGAAAATGTTACATGCTTGGTTTGATTGTGCCTGTTCATGGACGGTACTGCCAAGTGCAAACCACTGTCCACGCCCCCTCGGCTTAAGCAGAATTCAACATTTAACATGTACTGGTACAACTTTGAATTTTGAAACATCCGCAGATGTGTTCATATGGCCGTCATCATGGAACCTTCAATGTGACACGTAAGTGCCATTCCATGAAAAGCGCCATATGGTCCACAAGTAAAAAGATGCGTGTGCCCTAAATGAGAAAACAATGGGAGGAACTAAATAAAATGGAATTTCGAAAGGGGATCAGAGGTTATGAGTCTATGATTTTAAGGAATTTCTTTTTTGTTTGAGTTTTTATTCCCTTAAGGGCAGTAAACCATGCAATAAATGATAGTACATGTACCTATGTCTTATATGTCTAAATAAAATAAGCTAACATACTGAAGTCCATAATTTAATTTATCTATTAGTATTATATATAAATTCAAATTGCATGAATAATGAAAACATTAATTAATGATATTGTATTTGTTAAAACATTATTTACTCATTTTACTATATACAGTATGTATATTTAACTTTTTGATCTTGTAACTATGAACTATGCAAATAAAAATAAGTAAATAATTGTAAACAAAATTAAGAAACATGTATGATGTTAGTCCAACTAATTAGACTTGTCAAAGAGACACCAAGATAATTTTGGACGGGCACTGTGTAACTGTTTGACAGTAAGATAAAAAGTCTGTAAATTGGGTCAAACCGTTCACCCCAAATTAATTGGCTAGCATACTTTACTTTACTTTACTGGAGTTGAGGTCGCAAGACGTCATCGTCTTCTATAACCCCCCCCAAGGCTTTGTACCCAGTTCTGATCCAGTATGGTGGAATACTGTGTTGCTCCCATGAATTTGTCCAACCTGTTTTCAAAACTGTTAAGTGAAGGAGCATTCACAACCATAATGTATATACCTTGGACTTGATTGTGTTTAGAATTAATAAAAGTTGGCAATTGTCCAATAACCCCCTTGCAACACGGCTTTTAAATTTGTTACAAAGATGGATTTTTTCAGAAAAAAGTATCAACTTCCAACAATTTACCAAAAAGGCAAAATGTGCACGAAGTGACCAGGGGACGAATAATTTGTGTTATTGACTCAAAATTCAGAAAATAGTCAAATGTATGGTCACGAAATCAATTAGGAGTGAAACAATGGTTCTTTCATAAACATGCTATTACGTATGTTTAATCATATCGGCCTAATTTATCAGTAAAATAGTAAACACTTACCTTACTTTCACTTTGTAATTTCGGAAAATTTCGAAGCGAGTTAGGTAAACAAGAACGACATGCGAATGAAACTGATATTGTTTAAAAACGTCAGTCTCAAACCATGACACTAGTGTTAAACCCACAATCGTTTTCCTCTGCCATCGTCCTATGATGATTGTCCGAATAATTCCATGATATACAACAAATATCCATGAAAAGGTCTGAAACGTCGCGCATTTCCTGCTCTAGGTCAGCCATCTTGTTTTTGTTACTATTTTTAGCACAGTCAGTGCTCTCCAGTCGGTAATTACAAATAGAAAAACTGATATTGAACGAAATTTTCGCCTTAGGATAAAATTTAAGTTAAGGAATTTCTTGCCTAAGGAATTCACTTAAGGGATTTTTGACCTCTAAGTTAAGGGAAAATTTTACCTTAGGGAGTTTTCTTGAAGATAAGGAAATGTTTCCCTTAAAACTTAAGATCCTTTATGAATACGGCCCCTGAACTATTTTCAGTCATATTAACTTGAAGATGATAAGTAAGAGAATTTTGATGTGAAAACACTTCTAAAAATAGAATATTCTAAAAATAAAATATATAAACTGCCAAAGACCTTTATAACAGATAGTATGAGAATTAGGATGTGATAATGCTTCCAAAAATATAGTATTCTAAAAATAGAATATATAAACTGTCAAAAACCTTTATAACTGGCAGTATGAGAATTATGATGTGATAACACTTCTAAAAATAGAATATTCTAAAAGTAGAATAACCTTTTCTTTTACTCAGGCTGCTGGAAATAGACAAAGGGCATGTTTGTTGATAGCCGAAATGAGCAGCTCAGGTAATCTAGCAAAGGGAGATTATACTAAAGGTAAGGCAAGAGTTATCTCTTATGTACATAAAGAGTTATCTTTCCATGTTTGAGGAAAAAGAAAACAAAAATGTTCATTGATAGATATACTTTTGTTGCTGAAAAACAAATATTTAAAACAAATTTAGGAATTGTTTTAGCATTCCTCTTTCTAAATTGTTTGAGGTTTTATGAATTTGTATAAATATGTTATAAGTTTATGGTAACAATATGCTCATTATTTTCTTCTCTGTCAAGTTGCTGCGAATAATCTAAGTGCATTTCAAAAGAATGACAATTAAAAAGGTGACTGACCAATAATTGTTACGGACAAATGTTTATGATAAAAAAATAAAATTTGAGTAGCACTATGACAAAACCAACATAGTGTATTTTTGACCAGCATGAATCCAGACCAGCATGCGCATCTGCGCAGTCTAATCAGGATTTATGCTGTTTGCTATTAGTTTCTCTACTTGTAATAGGGTTTGAAAGGGAACAACATGGATCCTGATCAGACTGCATGGATGCACAGGCTGGTTTGGATCGATGCTGGTCGTTAATGCAGTATGTTGGTTTTTTTCATGGGGCAGCTCATTTTAAAGTTGCTTCGAATAGGAAAAAGACTGTCCTACTTCATAGATAAATTCAGAATGAAATTCCAAAGAGTCAAGTGCGTTAAAATAAACAATATCAAACAGATAGGGCAATCGAATGCATTATTAAACGATATAAGCACAGCCCAAAAAGATTAGATTCAATTTTTGATTGGCAAGGTTGTTTTTCCAGTTTACCTGCTGGCTATATGGACAACATCATGTTTGTTCTTAAAATCATAAAAATAACTTACTCATTATAAGTTTTCCAGCAGTTAAAATTAGAAATCGCATCGCTTTCAAAATTGTGAAAGCTTGTTGATGATTGGCTGTTCGAAAGGTCAGGAGAAGGTGACTTCCTATTGGTGCCGGTCAGACCCCATTTCATAAGATAAAGCTTTATGTCTTTATGTACTCTTTTAATATATTATCGGGATCATTTTTTGTATCCATGCAATGAAATATGACCTTGACACCTAGATTGTAAGTATTAAAAGCTGTACTATTTAAAATGTATCATATTTGTTTTCAGCAACTGTTGAAATTGCCAAAGAAAATTCAGATTTTGTGATAGGTTTTATATGCCAGCATAAACTCATTGATGATCCAGTTTTCATACATATGACCCCAGGTAAGTGTTTATAAACATTTGGTAGAAAACTATCCAATTTTTAGCTATTCTGTAGACAGGGAGAGCTCTTGTACTCACCTTTGCATAGGTGTTGCACATTGGTTCAGTTTTGGTGTACAAGTTGGTATCTTCAAAAGTGTTGATAAAAATGTGTTGAAACTTAAAAGATAACACATTAAATTAATTTTGTTCTCTGTGATTATCTAACATGATGAGCACAGGTCCCATAACTCTGAGTTACCTTTTCTCAAAGTTATGCCCCTTGTTTTACTGTCAAGCACAGAGAAAAGTGGAGCGTGCTTGTCTTATGAACAGCTCTTGTTATATATATTAATACCAATAATATCTGACCTTGAGCATGCTTCCTGTCCTCAATTTTGATTCCTGAAAAACAAATTTGTGTCATGTAAAAATCTATTTAGCCGAGTGTGCGTGCCCATATTAAAGGAAACCAGCGCAAATAAGGAAAAGAGGGCACTTTTTTTAAGATTTCATTCCAGACTGTAATTAGTCCCCTACCGGTTTAACCGGAGGGGACTTTAGGTTTACCCTCCGTCCGTCTGTCTGTCTGTCTGTCTGTCTGTCAGTCCGTCCGTCCACAAAACTGGATCCCGCGATAACGCAAAAAGTACTGAAAATATTTTTATGAAACTTGATATATGGATAGATGGCAGTATGGAGATTATGCACGTCTTTTTTTTTTCTTCCTATGTTGAAAATTCTGGTTGCTATGGCAACAAATAATCTGAAAATATGGCAAATTTTAACACATAAACTGGATCCAGTGATAACTCAAAAAGTACCGAAAATATTTTTTATATCCTTATAGGATTTACTTTAAAATCCCACATCGTAATAATATGACAAGGTTGTATAAACATAATTTCCTTACTAGGCAGGGAAACTTAACACATTACTGTGATATAGACAAACTTAGAACTCAAAAGATTTAAGTTCATTCATGTCATTCATTCACTGGTAAAATTGACTGGCCAATGGCCCATCAGAAAGTTGCTGGGGTTCTAACCGGTAGGGGACTTATGGATTGCTTGCAATACTATGATAATTGCTTGTTTATGCTGAAATAGTCAGTGGGTTCAAACTTATGATCCCACTATCTGTTAAATCAGACATTGGTTCTCCTGTACACATTTTAAAAATAAACACAAGTAATCAATTTGATTTAAAAAAATTTCTTAATTTATTTTAGGCGTAAAGTTAGGAGAAGGTACTGATTCCTTAGGACAGCTGTACATTACTCCAAACGATGCAATATCTGTGAACAAAACTGACGTTATAATTGTCGGACGTGGAATAACAGAAGCGTTGGATCCCGTTAGTGAAGCTGAGTTGTATCGTAAGGCCGGATATGACGCCTACTTAGAGAGACTGGTGTAGACTTCCTTAATTTTGTATTGAAGACAAAGTGATATAATTCGGGAAAAAAGGGATCAAAACATGTATTCATTGCTCATTAGTTGATGTTGTGACTAATAATTATGCATATATATAACTATTGCAAATAAACAGACTCTATGTGGTAGAGGTTCGGCAATCGTATGTTAACATATCAGATTTTACAAGGGTATCTAGAAAATATTTGACTATAATCACAAAATCTTCTTTGGGCAACATTTTGCTTCTGTATTTACAAAATAATGTTCAATGGAGCATGCCGTCCGTATTATCTAGCATTAACCCCTGACTGGCTGAATTTATGTAATGATTTTGCCAAGCTTTAAATCTGGAACAGTTCATTCAAAGTTTCAGATTTAGAACAGTTCATTTAAAGTTTCTGATTAGGAACTGTGCATTCAAAGTTTCAGATTTGGAACAGTTCATTTAAGTTTCTGATTAGGAACTGTTCATTCAAAGTTTCAGATTTGGAACAGTTCATCTAAAGTTTCAGATTTGGAACAGTTCATTCAAAGTTTCAGATTTTGAACAGTTCATTTAAAGTTTCAGATTTGGAACAGTTCATTCAGTTTCAGATTTGGAACAGTTCATTCAGTTTCAGATTTGGAACAGTTCATTTAAAGTTTCAGATTTGGAACAGTTCATTCAAAGTTTCAGATTTGGAACAGTTCATTCAGTTTCAGATTTGGAACAGTTCATTCAAAGTTTCAGATTTGGAACAGTTCATTCAAAGTTTTCAAAGTTTCAGATTTGGAACAGTTCATTCAAAGTTTTCAAAGTTTCAGATTTGGAACAGTTCATTCAAAGTTTCAGATTTGGAACAGTTCATTCAAAGTTTCAGATTTGGAACAGTTCATTCAAAGTTTTCAAAGTTTCAGATTTGGAACAGTTCATTCAAAGCTTCAGATTTTGAACAGTTCATTCATAGTTTCAGATTTGGAACAGTTCATTCAAAGTTTCAGATTTGGAACAGTTCATTCAAAGTTTCAGGGATTTCAATACCAAAATACAATTTTAGCCACCAAGAGTTTAGAACCTGATTAGAATGTAAGGAAGCACAGGTACTCTATACTAGTAACTGGCGAAGGCGAAACAGTTCCAGTTCAAGCTGGTTAAGTCATTTTCGATTGTATTTGTTTAAGTCTTGCCAAAAATCTGATAAATGTCAGAGATTGGACAATATGTCGACTTAATGTAATAACTGGTTTACACCTACTAAATACTGGGTAACACCTATTAAATTTAGGACCTAACCTGTTACTGCACTAAGGTGATGAATATTCTTTTCCACGTTTAATACAACTTTAATTTGAAATCACATGTTCATGTTAAGTTATTCAAGTTACTAATGGAATGTAGCCTAAATTAGGTTAATATGACCAGAGAGCATATAATGTCACTTTAATGATATATTTTACATTACCTTTAAACTAATAGTTTATTTTTTCATTATTGTCTTTTACTCAGATTTGCATAATTTTGACTAAAAGTTGTTATGTACTTGTCAAATTGTTTGCCATATGATTTGTAATTTTTAGCTCACCTGAGCAATGCTCAGGGTGAGCTATTGTGATCGCCCTGTGTCCGTCGTCCGTCGTCGTGCGTCGTCAACTTTTCACATAAACAACATCTCCTCTGAAACCAATGACTGCACATCAACCAAACTTTACAGAAATGATCCTTGGATGGTCCCCTTTCAAAGTTGTTCAAATGGTTCCGGTCTGTTGCATATGTAGGTCACAGGGCCAGAAAAGGATTTCAAAAAACACAAAATTAAAAAAATCTTCTTGTCTGAAAGTATATGGGCCAGAGCTTTGATTTTTGGTATATGGTATCATCTATGGGTCCTCTACCAAAGTTTGTTCAAATTTTGTCCCTAGTGTCAAAATTGGCCCCGCCCCGGGGGGTCATAGGTTTTTCCTTATATGTCTATAGGTAAATCTAAAAAAATCTTCTTCTCTGATTTGGCAAAGGCTACAGATTAGATATTTGGCATGAAACATTGTGTAGTAGACCTCTATCAAGATTGTTCAAATAATGGCCCTAGGGTCAAAATTGGCCCCGCCCTGGGGGGTCATTGATTTTCATTACATACATATAGTGAAAACTTGAAAAATCTTCTGGTCTGAAACTAAATGGCCTAGAGCTTTGCTTTTTGGTATATGGTATCATCTATGGGTCCTCTACCAAAGTTGTTCAAATTTTGTCCCTAGTGTCAAAATTGGCCCCGCCCAGGGGGGTCATAGGTTTTTCCTTATATGTATATAGTAAAACATAAAAAATCTTCTTCTCTGAATTGGCAAAGGCTACAGATTAGATATTTGGCATGAAACATTGTGTAGTAGACCTCTATCAAGATTGTTCAAATAATGGCCCTAGGGTCAAAATTGGCCCCGCCCCGGGGGGTCATTGATTTTCATTACATACATATAGTGAAAACTTGAAAAATCTTCTGGTCTGAAAGTAAATGGCCTAGAGCTTTGATATTTGGTCTATGGTATCATCTGAAGGTCCAATACCAAAGTTGTACAAATTTTGTCCCTAGTGTCAAAATTGGCCCCGCCCCGGGGGGTCATAGGTTTTTCCTTATATGTATATAGTAAAACATAAAAAAATCTTCTTCTCTGAATTGGCAAAGGCTACAGGTAAGATATTTGGCATGAAACATTGTGTGGTAGACCTCTACCAAGATTGTTCAAATAATGGCCCTCGGGTCAAAATTGGCCCCGCCCTCGGGGGTCATTGATTTTCATTATATACATATAGTGAAAACTTGAAAAATCTTCTGGTCTGAAAGTAAATGGCCTAGAGCTTTGATATTTGGTCTATGGTATCATCTATAGGTCCAAAACCAAAGTTGTTCAAATTTTGTTCCTAGAATCAAAATCGGCCCGCCCTGGGGGTCATTGATTTTCCCTATATGTATATAGTAAAAACTTAAAAAATCTTCTTTTAAAGAACCCAAAGAGCTAGAGCTAAGATATTTAGCATGAAACATCTTCTAATGGGTGTCTACCAAGTTTGTTCAAATAAAAGCCCTGGGGTCAAAATTGGCCCCGCCCCAGGGGGTCATTGATTTTCCCTATATGCATATAGTAAAAACTTAAAAAAATTTCTTTTAAAGAATGCAAAGAGCTAGAGCTAAGATATTTAGCACGAAACATATTCTAATGGATGTCTACCATGTTCGTTCAAAATAAGAGCCCTGGGGTCAAAATTGGCCCTGCCCTGGGGGTCATTCATTAGCTCGACTTTTTTTTTTTTTAGATATATACATACATATATATATATATACATACATATATATATATACATACATATATATATATATATATATATATATATATATATATATATACATATTATATATATATATATGTATATATATATATATATACATATATAAAAAATATGTATATATATATATATATATATATATATACACACACACACACATATATATATATATATATATATATATATATACATATATACATATATAAAAATATGTATATATATATATATATACACACACACATATATATATATATATATATATATATATATATACATATTATGTTTATAAATTATATACATAATATGTATATATATATATATATATATATATATATATATATATATATATATATACATAAAAAATCTTCTTTTAAAAAACCCAATAAGCTAGACCTTAGATGTTTAGCATGAAACATCTTCTAATGGGTGTCAACCATTAGTTTGTTCAAATAAAAGCCCTGGGGTTTAAACTGGCCCCGCTCCGGGGGCCTATATACAGGTGAGCGACTTTGGGCCATCATGGCCCTCTTGTTTTGTTTTTTTCCCTAATGTTTATTAAAATGATGTTCCATGTTTATTAAACAACTAAACAGATAATGAATTTGTTTGAATTTCTTTTTTCATTATAGAATAGAATAACTAAGGTAATTATGTAAAAGCAAAATTTTGTTACTGATAAAATTATAAAAGGGCAATAACTCAAGAGTTATGGAGCAAAGAGTTATCATTCTTGTGCATTGCATTCCTTGTAAGATCTGTCCACCTATGAAGTTTTTCAAGATGATAATTGAATTACTTGTCAAGTTACATGTCAAGGTCCAGACAATGTGTAGGACAGGACAGGCACTATAACCATAGGAGCTATAACAATAGGAGTAACGTCTCTATACACAGACATGATATGAATAAAACTTGTTGGAAGGTGGTCTGAACAGCACTTTTTAGGGGGGGGGGGTGTGTGTGCGGTTTTAGTGGTTGTTAGTCTGAAAAAAGTCTAACCGTTAAAATGGGGACCTGATAAACGTTTTAAAAGTTTAACTGACCGTACTAATAAAATCCATAGATTTTCAATGTTAACATCTTTTCTTTATGAGAAGATTTGGCATTTTGTTTGTACCGGGGTAATTTACTGTACTCAAAATGATTACAGTACATATCTGAATGTGGAGTAGTATTTTCTGTTAGGGTTGCACCGTACTCAAAACACATTATTTACCAAACTAAAATACAAACAAATTGTCACATCTTGTCTAACCCATTTTTAGCTTAAAACCGACTGAAGACTAAACGCGACACCCCTACTAATATGAAAGGAGTACTTAAAGTAAAGATCTGCTAGTGTTACAGAAATTTTTTTTTTTTGGTCACAAAAGTATTAAACAGGTTGTCAGATTTCAAAATGTTCAGTACTATTTGAAGTATATGGTTATGTAAATAAAACAATTCTTTGGTTGGTTTCCGGCTGAGAAATCCAAGATGGCGTCAAAGATGGCCACCATTTGTAAATGGATTGACCAATTTACCCTCTTCCATGTGGTTTATCTTACCTAAGACGCTGGTGCAATAAGTAGTACTTAAAAGTAAATATGGATACCGTACATATCCTCAAGAAATATTGTGCTGAACAAGTGCCTGTTCCCATGAATTATAAAGGCTGCACTCTTTAGTTAAAAACTGCATTTGATCTCCATATAATTATCAGATAAAATGTTAAAATAAGTAAATATGGATACTGTACTTATCCCCCATTAAATATTGTGCTTAACACGTGCCTGTTCCCATGAATTAAAAGAGGCTGCACTCTTTAATTAAAAACTGCCTTTGAGCTCCATTTTATCTGATAAAATGGAAAAAAAAAATTCTTTTTGGTCACAACACTGTTATGGTCTTATAACTTGCAAACTACTGATGGAAGGTCGGGTGCTTTTCAATTTTCATGTGTTAATTTTGTCATAAGCAGACACTTCAGTAAAACCACAACTTTCCAATAAATTTTACCTGAATTGTCACAGGGTGAGAAAAATGTGCATTCTGATTGGGATTTGTACCTGGGACCCATTAAATACTGTTTCACAGCTCTGCCAACTGAGCTTTCTGGCCACTAAACACAATGACGACATCTTAGAAATTCTGAACCGTTACATATAAATAACAAACCAGAATGAATGAGCAACTGTTTTATTATTGCAATGTTCAAATGAAACTTTTTTAGTTTCTTTTTCTCATAACAAATAATAACTGAACATGTAGAACTAAGTCATTATGCTTTATGATATGTCTAACTGTAGATTAACAACAATGGCAAATACTTTAAACAAAACATTGCTGTAAATAGGCTAAAATCTTCACACCTGACTCTACTGTATATAAAACTTCAACATTAATACATTATTTCTGTATTTACTTCTCTTAATTATTTTTTCTACTAATTAAATTGTTACGCAGGATTTTTTCCACATGATTAAATTAAATAAATTTATTTAAAATCAAAAGCTTTCTTTAATTTTTTTTTAAAGTTGTGAATCAAATTCTAAAAAAAAATAACCCTTCTTTAACAAACCTACTTATAAAAGGCCTAAGTAAAAGGCTGGTCTTAATCACCAGGTGGTGTTTTTTTTGAGGGTCACAAAATCGCAAGAATTTGAAATACAATCTTGTACAATTCCATTACAACAGAGACTTCCATTATTTTGATTTAGAACTAGTTATAACTACCACCTATAATTTTAGCTTTATATTCCCAAAAAAATTGTCTGTATCTCAAAAATATATAAATTTTATTTATGTAGTGAACAGTTCAAGTCCAGCTTGCACATTTAAAGTTCCTATCACAAGTCAATACCCACTTAAATTATGTAAAAATTGCTATGAATTATCTCCCCTATCGCTGAAAAAAATATTTTGAATTATTTCCCTTTCTATTACAAATATGCTTCATTTAAACAATAAAATAACCTTCCAAAATCCAAAAAGGTTTTGGATTCTCTTAATAACCTTGATTATCTCCCTTCAAGTTGAAAATGTTAATACCTCGATTATCTCCCTTCAAGTTGAAAATGTTAATACCTTGATTATCTCCCTTCAGGTAAAAAAAAATCTTAATACCTTGATTATCTCCCTTCAGGTAAAAAATCTAAATACCTTGATTATCTCCCTTCAGGTAAAAAAATCAAAATACCTTGATTATCTCCCTTCAGGTAAAAATAATCATAATACCTTGATTATCTCCCTTCAGGTAAAAAAATCAAAATACCTTGATTTTCTCCCTTCAGGTAAAAATCTTAATATATGGATAATCTCCCTTTTAGTTAAAAATCTTAACAATTTCAATTATAATTCTTTATGTGAAAAATCATAATTTGATTATCTCCCTTCAAGTTAAAAATCTTAATACTTTAAAGTTAGAAATCGGAATGTTTTGATTACCTCCCTCCCACTGGTTTTTTTCCACATATAATTAACTACATAAAATTAACTAACAATCTTTACATAAAGTAAGAACAATTCTTGTAAATTCATACACCAGTTGTGTTGTATTTTTTTCCATTCCAATTCCCCTTCTCTATACAGCCATTTATAAAAGTCTATATATTCAAATAATAATTTAAACAAGAGCCTGATTGCCAAGGCAGTCATATACAGAAAAGGGGGAAAAGCACTAATTAACAAACAAAAAAATCCCTGACAACTTCAAAATATTTGTTATATCAAATTTAAAAACAACATGCAGTAAATGTAAGGTTTTAAAACATTATGCTCTGTATGTTAAAACATCTTTCAAAGTTATCTATTAATATGATAATATTATCTTTTAAAGTTATCTAATAATATTATCATTCAAAGTTATCTAATAATATGATAATTAATTATCTTTCAAAGTTATATGATAATAATATAATCCTAACATTTTCATAAAACTAAAAATTAATACCATTTAATGCATTAAGCAGTATAGGAAAAAAATGCAAGTCTGTCCCATTAAGAGTTTTAATGCAAATTCTTTCACTGGAACAACCCAACAGTAAGTTCATAGAACTAAAACTTCTGTCTCAACTACTCAAAAACAAGTAGATGTATTTCTACGTCTTTAAAAACTTCATTCTCATTATTAAAAAAGACGTTTATTTTCATGAACATTCTAGCATTTTATAATAAATTACTTTGAAAAATGATGAACATACATAGGCACTTTACACATACAATATTAAAATACTTAGCAACTACGTTTTTCACCTATGGCACATTATAAATATACTTATTAAACAAAGCATGCTGGATGGGTGTTTTTTCGTTTTGGCTTACTGTATAAATAGGAAATTGCTCAGTGGAAGACATAATAAAAATATATTTTTATAAGCAATTTCTATGGCAGCAATGCATCTTTACTACTAAACCAGCAAAAAATTTCAATAATAATAAATAGCACTACAAAATTAGCACCATATCGACTTAGTGAGAATCTAACTTCAACAACTGAAAGCTTAACCAGCTGAATTTGTGTAATGAATTTGCCATCCCTTGAGTTCCGAACAGTCCATTCAATCGGCAAGTGTTTTCAATATAAAGATACAAAAGTTCAACTATTAACAGTATATGGTTGTGTAGGCTGGCCTGGCTCTATACTGGAGGCAAAGGCTAATAAAGGCTAACAGGTTAATACAATACTACTTTGATCTTACATAACAATATGATAACAAAATTTTTTTTAGGCATTCTTATTTTTATTATTTATCATAATTAATTCCATATATTCAAGAATCTCATATTGAATGAAGTTAATAATTCCAAAAAATTTTAACTTTCTATTGAACACGTGTTGAAATTACAGTTTTAACCAAGCATCCTTTTTTTTTTTTAAATATAACTTCAGCCAAAATTTGGACAGTCAAAATTTCAAACCAGCCTGTAAGCCCTAATTTACATTCGGTATCTTTTCTTATCTTCAAGCCATATTACTATTCCTTTATAACTATTTCTTTATATTTAATTTAAAAATATGTTGTTTTTTTTCCAGATAAAAAATGATTGGGAAAAAAAATTGATATGAAAACTGTGGAATGGTGGGTGTGTGCGTGTGTTTTTTTTTGTTTTTTTGTTATTATTATTTGCCTTTCACTTAGTTCTTGACCCTTTTTCTCTTTTTTTTTAGGATATGATTACTACATGATTTTTTATGTGATTATTTAAGTGATTTCTACATTACTAAATGATTTCTTTACATTTACTAATGCGATTATTTTCATGTTCTATGTGATTAGTACGGTGATTTATATTTTATCAATGTGATTAAACAAACCTATCTATGATCAGTATATATTCATAAATGATTAAGGAAATAGGTTATATGTCATAATATGATTATTTCTTTTCATTTTAACCAATATTTTAAATAGTATATGTCTATACAGTAAATGATTCCTTACAATATATAAACAGGGTATTATAGTGTTTTAATGTGATTAAACAATTTTGATTCTAAAATTTTAATAATTTTTTCTATATAATCCATGTTGCTTATTCAAAAGCACCAATCAATATTTGACAGCATGATGGGAAGGGACACAAACATGGTACTTTGGATAAAAGATAAAGATAGAAGATTGACAGACTTTACAGTGCCAAGCACCTAGAAATATAAGTGAATCTACCCATATAAAACCAGTTGTTTTTTTTTTTTATTTTTTGAAAAGCATCTCTTTGTTAAGGAATTCACTTTAACTTTGGGCTGACAGAGAAAACGCCAATTTTGACAACTAGCTGTCCCGACCTTGAGCAAAAAATTAATAGGCAAGTTCATGTTAAATCAGAAGATTGGTGCAATTGAACACGATTAAATAATTAAGTTTAACCTTATTACTTACAGAAAGGTTTTTTTACAATACTATAATGTCCATATTCTGATGATTTTATCTAATTTAGATTGCACAACGTTCATTTTTGCGTGCTACTCCCTTTGTGCGTTAAACACAATTCAACTTTAAAGTAATAAGGATTTGTTTAAAACTGTTCATTCAAATTACAATTTTTTCATGCACAAAGTTATAAATAAGGTTATAACAGTTTACTGAAAATCATGAAAATATTGAGAATCCTATATGTCCAGAATGTAGTTATTGACAGTAACATCATTATGATAATATTGTTTTCAAAAACACACTTTTTCTTTTTGCATTATCAGATTATTTTTCTTAGCACATATAATTTGTAGTTCCACATGTTAAAGAGAGGGCAACTGTCTCATCACAACCTTTATAAGTCACATGCAACTATGTGTAGTCACAAAATAATTATAGAAAATGAACATAATTAAAGATTTCAATAAGTAAAACATAAATTTCCCTCACCAAATAGTTATATAAGCACTGCATTTCACCAAAATTATCCAACTGATTGTCAAATAAAGAGGAGATTAATACAGGAAAACATAATTATACAATGAATCAAAAATAATTTCTGAAATGCTTCAAAATCCCTTAATTTACAAATGATTACATATAAATAAAATACTAAAAACAACTACCTATAATGTTTACAAAGACAATTCCATTGTGAATTATCAAAACAAACCCCACTTCCAAACCTACCCACCCACCTACACACAAATACCCCCCCCCCCCAATTCTTTCAAATTGAATTTTAACCATTTCTTATCTTATCTTTTACTGATACTAACCCCCTCCCCCCCCCCAAAAAAAAAAATGGAATAGTCTTTATAAAAAAATCTAAAACAAAGTTATCAAAGTAAAAATCAACATAAAAATGACTAATAAAATCAAGTGCTGAAATCAAAATGGCAAGAGTTACTTACACGAGGTCTAAAAATAAATCAACTATAGTCCCAATGCTACCCTGAATTTAACTTTTGAAATGTTCACACCAGCAAATCTATAACTACAGCAAAGGCAAATATTATCACCTTCCTTCCTTTAAAAAATCAACTCACCAATTCATTGGCCCTGTCTACAATTGTTAGATGATATTTAAGGGAAAAGTAACGCTCGGAAGCATTAAAAACAGCAAAATTACACGTAAAATTGCAGACTTGTTTTGATTGAGTCTGTACAATGAGTCTTAACAGTGACCTACAAAATCAAAACTAAGGAAATGTATGCATTTCATTGAAAATATTGCTTTAGACAACTGGAAAACTTTGGTCATTCAAGAAATAAGCGCCATGGACATTCCTGATTATTCCTTTATTTTTCCCCTATATTGAGTCAAATTAAACCACAGGCTCCACTCCTGGTGTTACCATTGTGTCAATGACCATATATTATGATTTCCTTAAAAAGATTGGCATCTATACAAAATGTTAATCCTTAACCCTCAAAGTGCTGGAACCGTAGGGTTAAGCCTTTGCCATCAGTATAGAGCCAGGCCAACCTGCACATCCATGAAGTCTGACCAGGCTCTATACTGTTGGCTGACAAACTTTGAATATATAAATTGATATCCCTAAAATTGATAATGGACAGTCTCAAAACGGAAGAAGGAAAAGTCCATTTAAACTTTTTAGCATGTTCAAGATTAAAATATTAGGTAAAAGGAAGTTGAAAAAACTGGTTTGACATTACCCGGGTGTAGATTTTCCGAGGTTTGTGAAAAAAACCATGGAAACTGCTTCAAAAACCTTGGAAATAAACCAGTTTTACAAGGTTTTTTTTAATTCCGAGGTTTTTCTTAAAACCTTGGAAACTTTATCCAAGGTTTTTGGTATAAAATCCTTGGAAATAAAGAAAACCTTGGAAACTATCTCGGAATTTAAACACTCTGCCAAAAATCAGCTTGGAAAAAGCTTGGAAATGAAGAACTTTGTCATTTTTTTGCTCGGAAAAGAACTTAGAAAATTTACGTAAATTTGTTGGAAACACTTTGCCAATATTTAGCTTGGAAATGACCTCGGAAATTTGTACTTTACTAAATTTCATCTCGGAAAATGTTAAGCCATAATGGTAATCATGATTTAACTTAAAATGGGCATCAAAAGCAATGATCAACAGTTAAAGCTGGCAGATTTACTCAAACCAAGCTACCAACCCAGCTGTAGTTTGCCCATGGATATTTATTTAATCCATGGTCAGAGCAAACAGTTGTCCATGGTTAGTCCATGCAAGACAGCATGGTCCAGGGAAATCAATTTTCAGTATGGACATTGTCGATGGCCAACTACCTTCTCAATAAATTTGTACTTTAAATTTCTGAAGCGATTTATTTGGGAGGAATCAATTAAAAAAATTTAAGTGTGAAAACATGGAAAAGTTAAATAAATTCCTTGTTGACATAAAATACATTTATTAATGGCTATAAATGTATCGCATCTAATCATAATAAAAGAAAGATTATTCAAATAACTGATGATCAGAAAGACTTTAAAAACAAAAATTATTTTCATATTTTTTTTTATTATTTATAATTATCGTTACTAGATATTTTTCATTTTTAAAAATAGATAAAAGAGCAAAACTATAATACAAAAAGAAACAATCAGTGTTTATGTCTATTAGTTTCCAAATGCATCAGTATTTTTCCTAAAGTTTCTTTCTATATATAGACTTAACTTAGGGTTTCTTGACAGCCTGTAAGCAACACTGAAATAAGAATGCTATATAATCTTTAATCTATGTTTTATGCCATATAAAATAGTATATTCTACAAAAAAACTTGTGACATACATTCAGATTACAATTTACTCTGCCATTAATTTATGTGTACAATAAACATACATAGTTATTAATTGTCCTTTAAATATAATTATGTACAATTGAATGTCTGAAATATAATAACCAGTATGCTTGTTAATTTCTTATAATTAGGATAAATAAATACTGCATCCACTAAGATTTCACACACAGAATATAACACACTGATCAGATAAAACTAATGGCACCCCAGGTGGTTTTCTCTATCTATGCATGATCAATCTTCTCATTGGGCATTCTGGGATAGACCAGATTGTTCCATGTGATTATTCAGAGGGAGTCTGGGTTTTTATACATTCCAAAACAATCAGTCTAAATGATATTGCAACAGTGATTCTCTTTCAAGAACTTATTAAAATTTTCAACTTTTACATTAATTTATCATTTAATATATATGTACCTTCAATAAATGTAAAATTAAAATGATGGTGGCTTTGATATTTTGGGATCACCCCTGTTTCACATTATAATAAACCTATCCAACATACTGTTGAAAAATTTGAATCTCAGACATTAATGGGTCAAGTTGTTATAGTTGAAAATAGTGGAAACATGGATTTATTTAAGCAATTTTGGAGATATCTTGTTTTAAATGTTAGGGAGCATATTATGGAATTTTCAAAGAAAACATTTATCTAAGTGTGACAAGATTCAGGAAATGTTTGGTTGTTGTAATTGAACTTAAAGATCAATGACCTGAGACAGGAAGATAAACAAAAGAAACATAATAGTAAAAAGGTCCAGGTAAATAACTTTTAGATACATTTATGCAGAAAAACTGTGTTTTTTTCTTCAAATAAGTATTAAATACACACTATTTTAGATCTATATTTTAAACCTTTGTAAGCTTGTTTAAATACAATTGTTTACAGGATATTTTATGAGTATGAATGTTATGTTTGTCTATGATTGTATTAACAAGATGAATGCATGAAACTATGATGACATTATTCATAAACTTTCATCTATTATTTGAATCTACAAATGTTTAATTACAGAGTCAGCTTGAAAGCAAGTTTGCAGGTGTTCCAAACTACAAGAAGATGGCAATCCAGTCTCTTATCATAGTATAAAGCAGAGGAATATACTGGAAAGTCATTGGCATTGGCACAAAGGAAGCCAACTGTAGACCAGGAAAGGCTTCAAGGAATATACTACAGTATGTTTTTGTTTTAAAACTAGGTTTTGAAAGTTTCAATTTGAAATTGGAATGAATGACGGTTTCTGGAACTGATTTTTTTATTGATACTTGAAATGCTGTAAATGTAATATCAGATGACTCTTCAGCTTTATTGCTGCAGGAACACATTTCATGCCCCTTTGAGCAGACAGATACAGTCAGTGTAGGCAATCAGAATCACCTTATGAAAAGCGTTATTTTTTGCAATATTTTTAGAGTGCTTTAGGTTGTAACATCCATATGACATAATCTAAAATAATAGTAACAGACGTTGCTTCTTTTCTAAACATCGCAGAATTGTCACACTGCTAACAAAAGTTTTCTTGAAATCTTGACACTAAATACTGATGAAGAAAAAATAGAAATCAACATGAAAAAAATTAAATTCATTATTTCAAAACAAATTAGACAAACATTTAAAGTAACTACAGAAAAGGTCATTTGAAAATATTAAAGCCTTCATTTTAAACAAAGGCTATCTAAACAACTTGTCATTAAAGTAGTTTTGGATCACTCAAAAGATATATTTCCTTTAACACACAAGTGCTGATCTTTTAAAACAATATATCAACTGATATTTTTGTCTATGGAAACGTTAGGAACGTATTATTTTGTTTTTATTGATGAATAAAAAAGAAATTAAATGATGTAATTCTGATTGCCTACACATACTGTACTGTCCTGAGTATAACCACAGGTGTTCCTTAATCCTGGGCTGGATAGCTCCCTCAGAGGGAAGAAGCCCCGTCCTGGCTTCAAGAGTCAAAAATTCAATGTTGTAAGGCAAGTTTGAAGTCATTGAGCCTGACCACATGGAGAGGGATGCGCCCAGTAGTGATTTTATATAATTGTTGTTTTTTTTTAAACTTCAATGGCTGTACTTTATTAAATATTAACTTTATTTATTTCAGGAATTGTATCCAAGCATTTTCCACATGTGACCCCTGTGACGGTGAGGGAAAAACTTGGGGACACTTTAAAATCATGAAGAGTGAACAGCTAGGACTTCAATAGATTAATATTTAAATATATATAAATTTGCCAGGTACCAAAAAATTATAACTGAACATTGAGTGTAATATTTACCATTAAAGACTACTAACTTAAATTTTCATTTGTAGTGTATTACTATTTACTTCACTCTGACATTAAATGTTTCAGTGAGTCATGTGATCATTATTTGCTCTGTAGTATTATTATAAAGAAATTTATTAATTCTTTAAAAGGACAATATAATTGCTCTTTTCAGAATATTTCATTGGTTGTTATATTTTTGATTTTCCATGGATATTCTAGAAATTTCCAAGGTTTTTGCTCAAGTAAACCTTGGAAAATGATCTTGATGCTTTAGTAAGAATCCTCAGGGAAATATTACAGTATTCCCAGTTTTGAGAAACTTTCCGAGGTTTTCATTTAAAAACCTTGGAAAACAAACCACGGAAACACTTTAAAAATCCTTGGAAATTGTTCCAATACTCCGAGGTCACTCATTTTACAAGGTTTTCTAAAAAAATCCTCGGAAATTATTTTACAAGGTTTTTATTCTGAAATCCTTGGAAATCGTTCCAATACTCCGAGGTCTTACTTTTTACGAGGTTTTTTTTTTAAAAAAAACCTCGGAAATTTTTTACAAGGTTTTATACCCTCTCCCTATTTTTCCAAGGTTTTCTTAATAGCAAAGTTTTGCATTTTCTTGTTCCAATACTCCGAGGTTTTTTTCCAAG